AATATATAAATATATAAATATAAAAATATAAAAATATATAAATATATAAATATATAAAGATATAAAGATATAAAGATATAAAGATATAAAGATATAAAGATATAAAGATATAAAGATATAAAGATATAAAGATATAAACATATAAAGATATAGATATAAAGCTTATATATATATATGTTCCCTTGAAGCTTCCTTCGTCTTGTTATATAATCTCTTAAACATCCCACTGCTCTCTTTTATACCCTAACAAAAAACGCATTACAAACTGCATTAAGCTTTATTTATGCAAGTTTAAGCGAATTGTTGCATAAGCCTAGGCTAATATAAAGAAAATGTGTTTCTTGTTACTCCATGGGAAAAATAGGAAAATTGAGAATTAAATTTGTGATAGCGCGAATTCGTGATAAATGGCCATGGAATATTATGCGACTGTAGCAGCTCATGATTAATGTGCCACGAATTATTAGTAATAACAATAATAATAAGCGGAGATATGAGATTGCCCAAAGAGAGGGGGTAGAGTGAGGTAGAGTGAGTTCTTCCACTATGAAATGTGTCTGGGGCGATGATGATGATGTTTTGGCATTTCATTTTGGTGCCATTGTTGGCCAAATTCAACAGAATATTTCAATCAATTGTGCATGTGACTGTGTGTGTGTGTGTGCGTGACACTGACTTTTACAAATTGAATTTATTTATTTGATTTGACAATTAATTCCAAGCAATTTGCGTTTCAAGTTAGATTAATAGCCAGCGGCTAGGCTTTAAAACTAAGAGCAGAGCGTTTAAAATAGCTGAAAAGTAGCTGAAAAAATAACCAGCTCACACACACACTCACACACACAGTCGCTTACGCTGTTAAATTGTATGTCACTTAGCACAGCGAGAAACGAGAACGAGGCAATAAATACTCGTATATGTTGTACATGTGTGCAAACATACATCAACATATGCGGCGCAATAAATTTTTACAACAGCAGCAGACCCCGAGCTGGGCTAAGGGAATTTACATGCTCGGCAAAAGAGTCCAAATACGAGATGCCCTGTAATAAATATATATAGACAAGCTCAGATATATATATCTGAAACAACTCTCTAATAATATGCCTGCCCAATACTGCTTTACCTCAGTCAGCTAAGGCTAAGACGTTCGCAGTTCAATCTCAGCTGACCTACATAGCCAAAGCTCGCATAATATACCCCTTGAAGAGTCAATTGTATAGGGCATAACAAGCTGCATTGTGGTCGATCCCTCCACTCCACTCCGTCCTCAGCCCTCAGCCTGCCACTCACCAAAAAAGTATGCCATGCGCAAAGTTCATTGCTCCAAATGTTTATGTTTATGGGCCTAGGCTTATGCGCATTTTATGCGCGAAATCAAGAAAAATGAAAATGCATTTTCGCAAAGCCTCTTTTTTTTTTGCTTTATTTTCTGCTGTGGGTCCCCACACAGCCAGAAAGCTGCTCTGAATGTCTGTCTGACTGTCTGACTGTTTGACTGTGGCTGCACACATTTCAAGCCAAGTGTGTGCTGTCTATGAGTGTGTGTGTGTGTGTGTGTGATGTTTGCCTGGCTAACAGCAGTTGTTGCCAGCTGTCTTTACCTTACTCTTTCCTTTCTTCTTTAATTTTTTTTTTGTTTTATTTTACACTTTGGCAGCTGGCCAGCTTTTCGGGCCTGGGTCAACTAATGAAAACTTCAAACAGCTGGCCCAATAGCCAGCAAAGTTTTCCACTTTTTATACGCATTCACGTTGTGTAAATGGGCATATTGGTTTTGTGGCTTCGTCGTGTTTATATAGCTTTTGTAGTGCTATTGCTGCTGGCGACTTGCAATTCAAAGTGTATACACGAATACCCTAGTTAGCTAACTTGGGAGTCTGTCAAGCTGGGAAGAGCTATTTGCTAGTAGTCCAAACTTTTGCCACTGCGACTTGGCTGCTGACTTCCTATTTATAGCCGCGATATCTAGCCATATTTGCCACAGCTATGCATCCAAAGTCTAGCTGATCTACGCTATAGTCTAGCTAAATAAAATCAAATAAATGAATCGAGGCTTGACAGCTTAGTAGCTAGCATCTTCAAGTCTTGCAGCTGCAACATTGTGGAGCAACTTTACAGAGCGAGTCATAAATTAAATAATAAATAATCGAAAAACCATGAACGAGTATTAAGTAACCAATTAAGCACGACTGTGGTGCTTTTATCTGTTTGTTTTCTGCCCTAAGCGTTGAGCATTCATAATGCAGGTGAGTGCGGCACGCTACCAATGCCAATTGCCGCAAAGAGGTTCAGCTAATTATTGTTAAATAGCCAATTTGCCAACACGAATTTTCTATTACACACACATACAAATATATATATATATCTATATATATAGGCAGATATATAGCTACGTATGTGGTCTAACCAGCAGCTTGCTGACAGCTGGCAATGCAAGTTTCATGTGGGCTAAAGAAAAAGCAAATTCAGCTAAAATACATACACAGACACATTTACTTATGTGGAGCGCACAACTGGCAGGTGTGGAGGGCGTGGCTTGTGTATATGTGGCAATAATTTTTGGCTAGCTGCTTTGTTTGCGCGCACCGCATTGTAGCCAAGTCAGCGCCAAAAGTCATAGACACTTGGCTCTGCCAGGTGCGCAACAACAACAGCAACAACACGAACAACAACAGACAACTCGTCGCACCTTGTGCGGGTCTAACCATAAAGCAGCCAGAGATAATCGCCCACGGCCTGTTCGAATTCCATTTGGGGTTTGTTTTCTGCTTTCTTTCGTTTGCTTCCTTCCACCTGCCACTGTCGGCTGCGGCACTCTATTATTATGGAGCTTGGCATTTAATTTAGATTAACATGCCCCAACACCCAGCGCCAAATCGCTTAAACTTCAAAGCCGACCTTAAAGCATTATGCGCTGTCTTTTAACAATTTCACGAATGTGCAAAGCTCACATCAAAACGAAGTTAAGATGGGAAAACCAGCAGCACGTGGGCTCTTACTTAACTTAAGCCAATTGTTAAGACTTTTACTTATTTTTTTTATGGTTTTATCAGTTACAAGCAGATATACATACATATAAGGAGCCATAAAATTGTGCGCCAACTTTTTGGCAAATGAGTTTGCTTCGAAAAGTACGTTAAAAAGTTTCTTTATCGAATTCCAGATAGAGGCATAGGCAGAAGCTTTATGGCAGCCCTCGTTGGGCAATTTATGAATGTAGACACACATGCACACACTCGAATACTCGAATACACACTCGACATAGTGCATATTAAGCCCATGCAAATCAACGGCCCAAAAGTATGCAACACTTTTTGCGTTACACTTTTGCCAAATGGTTTTTCGTGCCTGCTCGATTGAATGGCAGCAAAGCGATGGATGAGGCGAGAGAGATGGCAGTCATAACGCAGACATGTGTACAGTGCTGGAGTGCTAGACTACAGGATACCCTGCTTGGAAATTGTAGCTGAGAGCAGCTAAGTCGGGTGTGTGATAGAGGCAATAAGGCATGAGTCACAATATGCGCGGGAGTTAAGGGAAGACAAATCTTTGACTTAAAGCTACCCTGTTATAAATGTGTCTTCGTGCTGGTCTTACAAATGAGAGTTAATGGTTGATATATAACGAGAAAGTGTGTTAATACATACGACTCTTATTCTGAAACAATATAAAGAATATGTTTAGACAAAGCTTAAAACACGAAGAATATATTATCAATGACTTAAATTGATGGCATGTTGTGCTGCTCAGAGCTTTCATGACTCAGCTAGACTCTAGGCAGCGCTGCTCAGAGCTATCAAGAGCTATCATCTAGACTCTAGACAGTCAAACAACTCTAAATTGACTGCAGTTGTTGCCTGCAGTTGCTCTTGTGTCTGTTACACACACTGCCCTTATAGCCTGCTCCACCATTTGCCATTTCTACAGGGTACAATAAGGGAAGGGAGTGCAAAGTATCAGTGTGTACAAAGCCGTTACAGTTGCTGTTGCTGTTGCTGTTGCTGCAGTTGCAGACGTTGGCAGCAATTTATTTACGCCAGGCTTTGCGGTTCTTTAGATGCAAGGCGCAAAAACCCGAGCTGTAAAATTACAAGAGTGTATGTGTGTGTGTGTGTGCGAGTGTGCAACTGCTGTTGTTGAAAGTGGAGCATACAAACACATGTAGTTGCCGCTGTTGTTAGCATGACGAGGCATGGCGAGCAGGCACACATGTGTGCCACTTTCCGCTGCATGCAACGCTAAGCGTTTGCATTAGTGGCAATGAGGCAGCAAAATAATAAAAAAGGAAAGAAAACATCAAGAAGTAAAGCGAGAAGCGGCACTCAGGACATATTCCATTACGTCAACTGTCAGGAATCGTTGCAGCAGTAGCAGCAGCAGCAGCAGCAGCGCTCAGTCATAAGCTGAAAAAATCGCATTTGGCTCACTGTCCGCAGCAATTTTCCAATTTTCGATTTTTCATTTTCCATTTTCATTTTTTTGCCCAATTGAAAGTCTTCGACAGTTGCGTGCTATAAACAACAAAAGGCACTTCACAGTTGACACTTTGATTCGAGGTTTTTTAGACAATTCCAGGGAGAGACAAGAGACAAGTCGCAATGTGTTTGCAGGTACCACGGGGCGTATGAATGCGCGCATTGTGTGTAACTATGAGGGTGTGCGTGTGTGTAAGTGTAAGCGCGTTCTGTTGGCTTTTATATGGCATAACAAAAGCTTATCGCCAGCATAATAGAGACACGCGTCTGTGTAATAAAGTAGCAAGCAGGCAGGCAAGCAGGCAGTCGAGCAGTCGAGCAGGCAGTCAGTCAGTCAGTCGGGGCATTATCATTAACATTATTATTATTATTATTATTATTATCATTACAAAAACAGCGCTTTGTTCGTATATACATATATGTATGTGCGTTTGTATGTTTTCTGGCAACTTAAGTGACTTTTTGTTCTGTTTTTGTGCTTCTCCTCTGCTTCTGTTCACACTCTTTGGCATTGTTAAGCAGAGCTCAAAGCGGAAATCTACGGACCCAGCGATCTGATGGTAAAAACGGGCAGCGACATTAATTTAACCTGCAAAATAATGCAGGGACCACACGAGCTGGGCAACATATTCTGGTACAAAGGTGCGTATGCGTAATATCATTCGCTCCCTCCATCCTTTGCGTGCGTCTCGCAATTTAAACAATTCAATTTGCAACTGACATTCACATTCCTTGTGCTTTATTCTTACATCTTCATCTGCCGCCCATCATCTCCATCGCTACCTATCGCAGGCAGCGAAATGCTCGATGGCAAGAACGAGAACGAAATCGACAGCTCCATGGCACGCATACTCGTCGAGGATGATTGGTCGGATGGCTTGACTTCCAGGTATGTGCGACTGAGGGCATCCTCAAATAATACCCATGCAAACATCTATTTCAGTTATTTGCATTCGAATGCCTCACACTTAATTAAGTTGAAGAGGCCTCACACAATGTAAACTGCTGAAGGTACTTGAGACTCTTTGGGCGGGGCGGCACAAGCAGTTAAAGCAATGAGAGACATTCCTGGACTGAGCAGGGCAAATAGTAAGCAAACTGGGCGGCAACAAAGATTCATGGAATTCTCTAAGCAATAAATGCTCTATATTAAATAATTACAGATATTAATTTTGATGTTTTAATTTTAATAAATTTTTTAAATTTTAAATAAAAGCAAATTAAAGATTTTATTAGTTAAATTTGTCATTGTCATTGTCATTTTCATTGTCATTGTCATTGACATTGTCATTGTCATTGTCATTGTCATTGTCATTGTCATTGTCATTGTCATTGTCATTGTCATTGTCATTGTCATCGTCATTGTCATTGTCATTGTCATTGTCATTGTCATTGTCATTGTCATTGTCATTGTCATTGTCATTGTCATTGTCATTGTCATTGTCATTGTCATTGTCATTGTCATTGTCATTGTCATTGTCATTGTCATTGTCATTGTCATTGTCATTGTCATTGTCATTGTCATTGTCATTGTCATTGTCATTGTCATTGTCATTGTCATTGTCATTGTCATTGTCATTGTCATTGTCATTGTCATTGTCATTGTCATTGTCATTGTCATTGTCATTGTCATTGTCATTGTCATTGTCATTGTCATTGTCATTGTCATTGTCATTGTCATTGTCATTGTCATTGTCATTGTCATTGTCATTGTCATTGTCATTGTCATTGTCATGTCATTGTCATTGTCATTGTCATTGTCATTGTCATTGTCATTGTCATTGTCATTGTCATTGTCATTGTCATTGTCATTGTCATTGTCATTGTCATTGTCATTGTCATTGTCATTGTCATTGTCATTGTCATTGTCATTGTCATTGTCATTGTCATTGTCATTGTCATTGTCATTGTCATTGTCATTGTCATTGTCATTGTCATTGTCATTGTCATTGTCATTGTCATTGTCATTGTCATTGTCATTGTCATTGTCATTGTCATTGTCATTGTCATTGTCATTGTCATTGTCATTGTCATTGTCATTGTCATTGTCATTGTCATTGTCATTGTCATTGTCATTGTCATTGTCATTGTCATTGTCATTGTCATTGTCATTGTCATTGTCATTGTCATTGTCATTGTCATTGTCATTGTCATTGTCATTGTCATTGTCATTGTCATTGTCATTGTCATTGTCATTGTCATTGTCATTGTCATTGTCATTGTCATTGTCATTGTCATTGTCATTGTCATTGTCATTGTCATTGTCATTGTCATTGTCATTGTCATTGTCATTGTCATTGTCATTGTCATTGTCATTGTCATTGTCATTGTCATTGTCATTGTCACTTTCTTATTCATATTAATTAAAAATAATTAATAATTAATAATTAATAATTATTATAATCATTATCGTTTTAATTATTATTATAATTGTGCATATTAACTTTATTTAATTTTGAATTCTGTTTTACTTCCTCTCTCTAGTTTCTTTAAAATAAATATATTTTATTGTATCATATTTCTCCCATTTAATGTCGACAAGCTCTTCCAATACATTAAGTAAATAGTTAGAATAGCAATTAGTTAATGACTTGCGTATGCCTGCATAAAGGAGAGTATTTTCTAGTCTCCAAATAGAGTCAGGTATATGACAGCACAATTGTTCGCAGTTAGCCGTGTGTGATTTTTAATTTGCCTTAGTTTTTGCCGTCATGCAGTCGCACTGTCACAGTCACCGTTACAGTTACAGTTACAGTTAAAGTTGCTGTCGCAGTTAGAGTCAGAGAGTTACAGTAGTTGGTAGCAAGTATGCCTCCGGGCTACATGTGCTCATTGTGCATTTATGCCGTTAACGAACGACACGGGCAACCATAAAATGCAGATGCCGCTAACCGAGTGGGGGCCGGGCGGGCGTCAATCCCAATCCCTATCTCTTTTCTAATCCACAGCGAATCCCTTAGCCCGAACTGTGACTTCAGCATAAAGTAGCAAAAAGTTTTTAATGTAGCTGCCACATAACGCTTGGCTTTTATTTGATGTTAGTGTGCGCCCAAAGACTGACTCCCCTGGCCCTAGCCCAAAACTCTCGACTCATTGCTGACTATGTTATTCATTTGCAGGCATTGCCATTCACTTTCAACTAACTTTACTCCACTCTTTTCTCTTTGCGCCTCCCTCTGCGCTTCTCAGATTAAAAATCAAGCGAGCCATGCCCGGCGACACCGGCAACTACACCTGTGTGCCAACCGTCGCAAAAACCTCCAGCGTCTATGTGCACGTAATTATTGGTGAGTACATATATATATGTGTGTGTGTGTGTGTGCGGGTGTGTTGTGTGTTTCATGTGTGTGCGCCTGACAGTTTTGCATGTTTATGACAGGAAGTTGCCTGTTAGCAGCGCGCATTGCAATTTGAGCATTTCAACTGCACTGAATGCCAAGTGCACTCTCTATGTCTGTGTGTGTGTGGGCGTGGCTGAGGGCGTACATACACTGTTCGGTGTTTGTGTTTCCATACTCTGCCGTGCAAGTAGTAAAAAGTGTACATTTGTTTGATTTTTTCAACTCTTTGCTAAGTAAGTGCAACTTTTTTGTTGCACGACTCGAAAAACTTCAAAAGGAAATAAATACTCTTATTACATTATATGATGTATGTATATATGGTTTTTACTTATAGATTGTTTCATTAGTCTACATATTTATTTAATATATAGCAAACATTATATTCATGCACTATCAAACTTTTACTTGATATCAATTCCTACAGCCAAGAACTTCAGATGTATATTACCTATAACAGATTATAGAATGAAGGCCTGAATTTTCAATATTTATATACATATATATAATTTGAATATTTTATCTATAAATCTGAATGTTCCATGATTTTAGGGGGCAATCGGTACATAAAACAGAGATCATTTTTTATATACTGTTATTATTGTCTAGTATAAGACAGATTGCAAATAAAAACAGCAATTAAAGAAAAAAATTTCTGGCTATGAATTTAGACATTGTCTTCTATGTTAACAGCTCAGTTTTTACATTTATTTCAACTGAATACAGGGCATGTATCAGTTGGTACTCTGGATACAACTTTTCATTCAAGTTTTAGTTGAGTTCAGCGATTTGGCAGCCAACTCACGCCTTCTTTATTTATATATATTATATATATATACCAAATATAAACTCATACCTAGATACTAATACCTAAAGCTATGCAAGTTTCAGCTGTGTACAGGGTATCCTAGAGTTGAAGTATGCCTCCGCTTCACTGATATTGAAACCTCAAATCTTAAGTAACAAACTTTCAATGCATATGCCACATTTTATCTTCAGCAACGCACCATTCACAGCTCTGTACAGGGTATTCAAGCAGTCGTGACATAGCAACATGCATGCTTTTACAGTATGTGCGTTAGCTTAGCCTGAAAAGAAGTGCGGAAATTATTTGCCTGCCAGCTAGAAATGCCAATAATCAAGTCCGGCTACCCTATGAAAAGGCAGCCACAACAAAAACTTCAGATGCAGCTCTTGTGTGCTCAAGTGCTGCATATAACAAGTTGTTGTTTGCTGTTTGCTGTTTACTGTTTGCTGTTTGTTGTTGTTGCTTTAGTGTTTGCCTTGTTTGGCAAACAGGAAATGCGCACATGCAAAGTGAAGCGTCGATATTATCTGGCCCAGATTTTCAGGTGCAGCTTTTGTTGATGTTGATGTTGATGATGCTGATGTGCAGAGACGAGTCAAAAGTGGAGATTTCGCTACAGGCGATTGAACCTGGCAGCCAAACAAAGGCAATCGGAAGCAGCAGCTGACAACAACAACAGATAAGAGCAACAACAACAACAAAAAAAGCAGCTCAGCCAAATTGCATCCCTTTACGCATGCGCTTGACTTGCTTTTGACTGCTTTAACAATTAGCTAATGAATTGAAAGAGCACAAGAAAGGTTTTGCACGACTGGGTGATACCTTAGTCTGCATGTTGTGTAACTATGAAGCACTGAATACTTGCTAAATCAGAGCAAAGACCACTAAGAGATACCCTTACATAGCTGAAGTTTCAGCTATAGTTCAGTTTCAAATCGATTCTGTTCTTAATCAAGCACTCAAAATACTCTATAGCTTAGCCATGCCTTCGTCTGAATGTTACATATACTTTAGCAATACCTCGCCTACCCACTCTCAATGAGCTCGCCAGGGTATTTACAACTATTTTCTCAACTAATTTGCCAAGCTTTTCTTACTCATTCCTCTATTTTCTTTTCTATTTTCTCGCAGGCGAACACCCGGCGGCCATGCAGCACAATTCGAGCAGCAACAGCAACAGTTTCTACTGCGGCATTTGTTGCATGCTGCTGAGCATCGTCTCCTGCTGCCTGCAGCACTGGTATGTGTGTGCAGCGCCTGCTGAGACAATGGCTGCGCTTTTCTTGCTGCCAACCAAACAATTGTCACAGACAGCGACGGCAACAGCAACAGCAACAGCAACAGTTGCAGCTGCAGCCACAGCAGCAACAGCAACTCTGACAGCCCGCCCCCGCAGCAGCACCCGGCGCAGTGGACTGAGATGAAGGAATGACCGCTTTCCACTGGCCCACTGAGTTCCAGGTGATGATGATGATCATGATCATGATGTTAATTGAGTTAATAACGAGATTTAGTTAAATTCAAGCAAGCATTGATTTCGTATCTAAGATAAATGCACTTAGTGAATAAACAACAAAGAAAAACCAAAAACCAATAAGAAAAATAAAACATCTTTAGCTCTAAGCTCTCGATTTTTGGGTAAGTTAAGCCAAGCATAAAGCATACAGAATATATTATATACGAAATATATATGTATATGATCCAATAAACAGTGCATGAACATATACATAATATGCTATATATATATATAAATAATACTTAATTATTGTTTAAGCAAAATGTAGTTGAACAAATGCGCAGTTGATCATGAAATTGAAAACAGTTTAGAGTTGTAATTCGCAACTTGTTCCAGTTGTTGTTCTCTTAAGCTTTGTAATTCACAATTAGCTTAAACTGATTTTTGTCAAGACTTGTGATTCACAAGAAATTCAAGCTGCGCTTTCTAAATTCATGTTTCATGCAAGTGGCTTTTTCTTAAGGCTTTCTAATTCACAACTAGTTCAAGCTGTGCTCTAATTTATTTTTTTTTAAGCAGCTCTTTCTTTGAGCTTCCTTTGGCTAAAGCTTTGCAAGTCAAGCTGTCATTCACAAATCAACTAATTTTCATGTACTTTTGTGATCTACTTCTGCATTTGTCTCCTTAACACACACGCCCACTTCAATAGCAAAGAGTTCAAGTTAAAACAGAAATTTTCTCATTATGAAATAAGACTAACTAGGCTATAAATATGCTTCATACTCAAATACAAATTGTTCTCTCCAATCACTCAATCAGTCAATCAAATCAAAACTGTGCAGCTATCAACTCTCAGTCATTTTTCTAGCCCGCTCACCGTATGCATACTTCTGTAGCTCACTGTGTACTCTATTGTAATTACTAAGCATACAAATCGAATATTTGCTGTAAATAAATGCCATTTAGATATATATATAGAGCGATTTATATATGTTTTCATTCGATATAAAGTCAGTTGAAGCGCAAAATGTATTCGGCAGACCGAATTTTAAATACTCTTACAGGAGCTAAAGATATATTGAATAAGGCATTGAAATGTATTAAGAGATTCTGTCTCTTCTTATGAAATGTTTATTGTAAGGGTATTTCATATGCTTATCAGTAAAACTTCAAAGAGAAAACTACAGAATTCAATAAAGAAAGGGTGCTTGAATGATAGACAACATCGAGTAAGAGGCAGCTACTCGGGAGCTACCCTGCAGCCTGTGCAGACAATTTGTGTATGATTTAAACAGCTTGGATCAAACAAGAAATGGTGCTCGTTTCAACTTTTTGCATAAGTTTCGAAGAATAGAATATATGGAAAGTGTGATGGTTCTAGAACCTAAAGGGGACTTGAGGTGTGTTCAAATGGCTAAAGTTTGACAACATTTTGAAAGGAAAAGAATTTTATAGAAAGACTTAGAAGGATTTTGAAGATCTCTCTAACGCTTTCTAGCTCTTCACAGACAGGCAAAAATTTCTATTTAATTTTTTAATGAGTTTCATGTTTCAAAATAAGAATTTATTTACAACTTCTCTAGTTCACTCTGCAGTTCTTTTGAGAAAAACAAACGGAGAAAAATTTGTAGTTAATTTTGTAATCGAAGGGAAAGTTATCGATTACATGAAAATAAACTATACCTGAGCATCCATTAGAAGGATCTATATCTAGAGTCTCTGTTCCACATGAATTCTTCAGCCTGTCACCTACATTTCAACTCCCATACCCAATGGGTTCCAGGGTACGAAAAGTCACAAGCAAACAAATTAAGCTAATGAAGTTTGTACATACAAAAAGTATATAAAAAGCGAAAAATAAATAAACAGGATATATGCAGATATATATATATATATATATATATATATATATATATACATATATATATATACTTGTTTTACGTGCTAACTAATTAGTTTTGGCTGACATAAGAGCATATGGCAAATGCGAATTAATAATGTGCTTAAGCGGAAATCGAAATGCAAAAAAAAGAGAAGAGAAATAAACCAACAGCAGGCACTGTAAATAAATTCATTAGTAGCGACTGTAGTTTTAATTAACTCTTAAATAAAATAAAAACCTAAATGCAAAATGCAATTTAAATGTTTGTAAACTGTTTAATTTGTACACAACACGCAACAGACATACATATAAATATATATACATACATAAATATAGACATAAAATATATATAAATAATTAACCATGCAACAACAACAAAAATCAATAACAATTATGATAAAACACCATTTGAATACACAAAAGAAAAAGAAGAAAAAAAACAGATGCCAAGAGCAAATAGAAAGTGCAACAGATAAATGCAGCTGCAACAACAACAACAAATAGAAAAAAGTTTAGATAAATTTCATAAACACATACAGAACTCCAAGTGTGTGTGCGTGTGTGTGTGTGTAAATGTGTGAACTTAGATTAAGCCATAAAAAAAATAAAGTAGCAAAAACTTTGCACTTGGCTGCTATCGACTGCCCAATGCTCGTTCAGCAGTTAGCAGAAAAAGTTCATTTTCAGTTTGTTGTCAAAGTGATCCGAGGACGAATGAGTGTGGCCCTCAAAGGAAGTGAAAGATGCCTGAAGTTTTCTCTTCAATCTCAAATTATTGAATTGTAGCTCTTGAAGCAAGTGGAACTTGATTAGCAGAAGTTTTCCCTGTGGATGGCAGAAGCTTTCTCGCTTCAACGCATCAATGCCTAAAGCAGCTCAGCTCTTGCCTTCAGAAGAAGATGCAGAAGAGTAAATGATGTAGCTGCGATCTAGGAGGTCTTTATGCACAAGTCTCTATCACAGGCCCAAGTAAATTTATTCAATAAATCTGACAAATTTGCCAGATGAGTTTATTTACACATTTTAAATTTCAGGTCAAGCTTCAATAGCACAAAACCAATATACTCTTCTTTATAACCTGAACGAGCAGCATTCAGCAGAAAAAAAATAAATAATTGAAAAACTTTTTGTAAATAAATTTGATTTGCATTAATCGAAAAGACGATAACTAATATTTATATATGTATACATAACACATACAGGTTAATAAGCGACACATACACTCCCACACACACACACACACACGCTTGCACAACAAATGTGTCACTTGATGTGTGTTAACTATAAGAGCAAAACACTTTAGAGTTCATTCGAAGTCAAAAGACGACATTATAACTAAGTATTTATGCATAGGTATATATATATATATATATATAAATATATATACATAGCTATATATATATGGATGAACACACATACACACTCATAAACACACACACACACTGCAAGAGATTTAAACGAAATAAGATTAAACTTAATTATGGGTTAGAAAAATTAATAAAAAAAAAATAACAATGTCTTTTATTTGAAAATCGAAGTTGGGTTTATTTATGCAAATCTGCGAACTGGGCGTTGGCACAACATGATTAGATGGATTCTTCTCTTAATCTGATTAGAAATCGCAAATCATAGCGAATGAGAAGACGTAGCTGTGGGAGTATTGCACTGAAAATACCCTGTAATGGGGCGACTGATGAATAATAAGAGCAAAGAGCAGTAGAGAGTGAATAATAAAAAGCGGACAGAGATAGATGGAGGGAGGTCTAGAGATTGCAATAAATTGTAATAATGATAGAGACAGAGAGAGATGGAACAACACATAGAGAGCGAGACATATATGAAGAGAATGAGAGAGAAAGATATATTTAGAGAAAACGAGAGGACATAACAAAAGAGACAAATAGAAAGATGGGAAAACGGAGACAAAGTCAGAGAGAGAGAGAGGGAGAGAAATTGATAGATTGTCTGAGAAAGAGAAAAAAGAAAAATACGTGATTAAAGAGACAAAAAGAAAGAAAGGAAAAGAAACACAGATGTAGAGATAGAGATAGAGAAGACGAGAGAGAGGGACAGAAATAGAGAGAGTTAAATATGTTAAGAAAAACATGGATAAAGAGACAGAGGTAGAGAAGTAAAAACAAAAAACACGAGAGAGAGAGATATATACTGCTTGAGATTATACAGCTGTAAGTGGAATAAGACTGAAAGCCAAGGTAAAAGAAATAGTTAGATTCTATCTAATTGTATATAAAATGCAGAACGATTGACGATGAGTGAAGTTACTGAATGCTGATTACTGGTTAGGTGTACTCCACCTAAGTGATGAGGCCTTTAAGATATATTAAATTTACTCAATCATACGGTGCAATCTCTAGGGCTGAAGTTCAAATACCCTGGATAATGGTAAGTAATTATTGTTCATTGAGAGATTGATAAAATGTTCGCAGAGAAAGGCTGTCAAACTAGAACAACTGATCGATAGATTGAGATGATTGAGTAGAGCAAACAGCAGGGTTTCATAGCATTGCCTTTATCTAAAAATATTAAAACTTGAGGAATTTATTTCTCAGTTTTAGCACAGAGCATTCACTTGGGAGTGATGAAGCTAAACGATCTTCCCAGCTTCTATGAATACGTAACAAGTTTTCACTATAAACTAAAACATGTCAGCGGCCAGATTAAGGGGTATAAAATACGCATAAATATGCCCCATTAAAACAAGCGCATAACTTAAAGAGTACAGTTATTTATGCCAAAACGAAGACGTCAAATTGACTTGATAGAAGCAACAACAACAACAACAAAGACACGAATGACTAACGCCCAAAGATGCTGAGCACGACTAAGGCAAGCAACTAAAGCAGTCGTTATTAGTGGCTATTGATATTAGTGGCTTGAAAATAGTTCAAGAACCAGTTCCACTCCCACAGATTTGCATGCGTTCGTTGACTCTGCCGCGCGACGAATGTGTGCCAGCTGGAAATAATTTATTGAAATGGGCTTTTGGCAGCATGGGTTGAACGATTCCATTCCATAATCCATAGTAATTGCAATATTTGGCAAATGTTTACCGTTTGCTTTAGGCTAGACGAATGTATAAATAAGACCAGCGCCGGGCATTGAGCGTCTCAGTTTCTTTGATTTGACGACAGACAATGCATCCAGCGTGGCTTCGTTGTTTCGGCCTGCTCTTGTTGGTATTGAGCTGCTGCGAGGCGGGTGCGTAAACAAATCAGTCGAATCTCGGCGAAAACGAACTGAAACTGAATTTACATTTGCAGCACCATCGAAAGAGAAGGAGGAGCAGCTGGTGCGCGTTTATCCCATCAACGAGGAGCAGTACGAAAGTCTGCTAAAGCTCACCGAGGGCAAGAATGTTATATCCGAGGCGCGTCTAACCAGCGCCGGATTCACCGCAGTGCGCAACACTCTCGGCTCCGGCTGGCATTCCCTGCTGCGCATCATGGGCTTCACGGCAACTCGTGCGGAGCAAACGAAGATCGACATCGACGGGCAGCCCTTGTGCGTCATGAAGCGCAGTGTCGACGATGCTGAGGTGGATCAAACAAAACCGCGTGACCTGGAAGGCAAATCAGCAAGCGATGAAGATTCGGTAATCAACTGCATCGTGGTGCTCAAGCGAGATCCTGCTTTGGAGTCGCTCAGCTCTAGCAATCCAGACTTTGCGCCCTATTGGTATACTGCAAACAGCGCAGCGCAGCCAGTGCAGCCAGTGCAGCCAGTGCAGCTGACGCCACAAGTCAACTCCGAGCCGCAAGCAGCTGAGCTAATGGCTAAGCAGCCAGCGGCACCTGAGACGGAACAGCTGGAGCAGCAGCTGGAACCAAGCTCGGCCGCTGTAACTGCGCCACAGGCAACCAAGAAGCGCAGCAAATCCAAAAAATCCAGGCAAGGCACGCGCTCGTCACTCGCCTCGAGTGCTGCGCGTCAATATGGACCACCACTGCCGCCACCACCACCACCACTACCACCACCACCACCAGCACCATATGGCAGTCCCTACGGCGGTGCCTATCCCTATGGCGGCTACACTCAGACTCCTTACAGCCAATACAATCCCTATGCGCCCTACGGCCAGCAGCCGCCGTATGCTGCTCCACCGGCTTATGGGCAACAGCCTTATCCATATTCGCCGCAATATTACGGCCAGAGCCCCTACTATAATCCCTATCCCTACTATGAACAAGCCGAGAACGCAGACAAAGACGAAGACGACGCCGACGACGATGATGAGGACGAAGCAGAGTATGCTCAGGCGGTGTATGTGGAGTCCAACGAAGAAGATTATTATGACTAAAATATAAACTGTATTTAAATAACAAATGTACAAAACTAGAAATCTTGTTTGACTTTGTGAGTTGGGTATATTTCATGTAAGGTAAGGTAAGGTAAGGTAAGCAGCTAAAGGCATGGCCTAAATAACTTAATGGCAGATTGCTGCTGATTAAGACAGCTTCATGCTGCTTTATTGCTGTTAGAGTTGAACAAACATAAATCTGATGTGTTTGGTATTTGCTTGGGTTGAATTTGAGAAACCCTTGGGACTTGCCATAGAAGCAAGCTTTGGTCAAATTATAGAAGTTTTAAGAGCCAATCTATTTATGATTTAATATAAAAATCTAAATGAATAAAATAAAAAATCTAAGAATTCTTGATTTATAGCTAAGCTTTTATTTTATCATTTTAAGTTCATAATGAAGTCTCAGACAACAGTAAACCTTTCTTTAAGTATCAGACTCAGACAATACTCTAAGCATAAACAATTAATCCTAATTGATGGAGACCACTTGAAGTGAGTATAGACTACAAAGTCAGGCTTAGAAGCTATTATTTACAAGCTTAGCATTTGAGGCCTCATCTGTATTGATCTATTAACTTTTGCCAATGTTGAACCACTTCCACAGCTCATCTACAGAGCAAGCTCCACTCAGCATTTTCAAATAAAAACTTTAAATGATCATTAAATATAGAAAATATCCAGAATAAAATTAAAAAAATTCCCTAACGCCCAATTAGTATGCTTATGCTATGGTTGCTTTTGTAAACCAGTCTAGGAAGAGCCCATTGAGCTGCTGTCTCTGAGTTCTTCCTTTTAAGCACAATTAGCCATTTGCTCATATTAAACTTTTCTTTTGTCATTCGGAGCTCACAAAATTGGAAATCGAATTTCTCTGCCCGCCCAAAACTAGTTAAGAAATAAACAGTTATCTTATTAAAATATAATCGCTACTAATTTCGGACGAACCGCAGACTCAATTATGGGCGAATTCCTCTCAGAACAGGGTCAACGAGTAAATTATGCCAAAAAAGAAATGAAAACTGACTTAAATAGTGTTCCTATTAATATTTGTGTTGAGGCGCAGTAATTTAAATGAGAATGCCACACGAATCTTTATAAAGGTGTGGCTACTGGCTGCTGCTAGTTATTCGATCACGGCCCTCGAGATCGGCCAGAGATGAAGCTTTTGCCATTTGTAGCGCTCATAGCGCTATGCGCAGTCGCAGCCGACGCAGGTGAGTCCTCAGCGGAGCCCAGTCGCAGGATGCGCCTGATCTTCTGATTTGACATCTTTACAGCCCGCTCGCAGCTGCTGCGCATTCACGAGGTTACGCAGCGGCAATATAATGAGCTGTTGAAGCTGACCAGAGGCCAGCCGCAGGTGTCGGAGTCACGACTGCTGCGCAGCTCGCTCAGCGACTTGGCCAGCAGCTATATTCCCTCGTTTTTCCTTGAGACCGATAACAAGGGCTCCTCCTCCAAGGGCTATCCCTTGTGCGTTGTCTCCCCAAAGGACACGGACGACTATCACGGACGACATGCCTCCTGGAATTTAGGCGGCATTCTCAATGATGGTGATCACGATGGCCATGGCGGAGGTCATGGCGGAGGTCATGGCGGAGGTCATGGCGGAGGTCATGGCGGAGGTCATGGCGGAGGTCATGGCGGAGGTCATGGCGGAGGTCATGGCGGAGGTCATGGCGGAGGTCATGGCGGAGGTCATGGCGGAGATCATGGCGGAGATCATGACGGAGGTCATGGTGGAGGTAACGGCGGAGGCCATAGTGACAAGGATAGGGATCGTCCAATTGTCAACTGTATTGTAGTGGTCAGATCAGGAAATAATGGAAATAATCCCGGTACCAATCCGGGTCCCGGTACCAATCCTGGTCCCGGTACCAATCCGGGTCCCGGTACCAATCCTGGTCCCGGTACCAATCCTGGTCCCGGTACCAATCCTGGTCCCGGTACCAATCCTGGTCCCGGTATCCCTCCCGGTCCCCCTTTTCCTCCTCCCTTTCCCTATCCCGGTATCAATCCATGGTATCTGTGGAACTGGTATAATTATTGGTATGGACGTATCCCACCACCTGCCCAACCACCTATACCACAGCCACCAACTTGTAATCCGGAAGTGGAAACGTGCGCCTAACGAATGAAAACTGAGGAGCTTAATGAAAAATAAAAATAAATTTTCACTGCAAAATATAGAAAGTAATAGCTGTTTTTTATTGCTAATTCCAATTGGACTGGAATGGGATTTCGTCTATAGGCAGAGCAGAAGATATCAATTAGAATATAATTTTATAGTTAAGTAAACTAAAGGAAAATATGAAACCAACTACATTTGCGATATATATTTTAACTGTTCCAATTAGAGTTCCAATTGGCATCTAATTGAGGTTAGATTTTTAAGGTGGAATTTCGAAAAAATTGCAATTTGAAGTTAGTCGGAAAGTCTAAAGTGAAATTATTCCTGTTGAAATTCAAATTGGACTCTTTAGTTGCTCCTCAGTTGAGTGCGCGATCGAAACTGTTACAAGGTCCGTGAACAAACAGTGCAGAGAGCGCGACTAGAAGAGTGCACGACTACCAAATACCCAGCCCAAAGTCAAGCTGATTGCAGAGAAAGCAAACGCTGCTTAAAGTGAACTTGGAAACAAAGGAATGAGTGAATTCTGAGAAAATCAAAGTTGTTGCTCTTTATAGATAACTTTTTAAGTCTTATTGTATAACTTTCATTTATAATTTTTGTATTCGATAGAGAAAGGAGACAGATTAATTCTATGAAAAGAGAATTTGGCAATAAATTAAGAGAAGAATTTGTTCAAGAAGCTTAAAGCTCAACTCTATAAATCTTTCGAACAATAGTTAAGGTCTCAATTGAAAACTTTCTATAATTATTTCCACACATGATAGATCGGCATTTCTATAGGGGTATACCCTCTTGGTATTGAAGCCATACTCGTATGCGGGCATGCCCAGCGCAGTCTGCAGTGCATACAGGGTATATAAAGGCTTGATCTAGGCAACAAAACAAGGCCAACCATGTAAACAAGTGACACAACACTGTCACTTCCATACACACACGAACACACACACTCACACACACGCCTACACACATGGTTGGCTTTTGTAGGAGCTGCCGTTGGCGGCGCATTGGAACAACAGCAAGGACAACGCGCTGCTAGGCGAGTGAAAAGAGAATAAATTAAAGAACAACTCAAAATATCTGCGGGGCAATTTTTACCCAGCAGTGAAAGTAAGCGCGTGTGTGTGTGTGCGAGAGTCTGTGTGCGTGTGTGTGTGCCCTGACGGCGCGTATGTGTGCCGATTTGCTTGCCTACGCCTGTTTGCTGTTAAGTGCAAGTGCATCGATAGCAACACAGCAAACAGAAAGACAGCAAGAGACAAAGAGAGAGAGAGAGCGAAAGTTGGCGTGCGAGCGAGATAGACATAGAGAGATAGAGCTGAGATAAGCGCCCTGCCTGGGCTGTCTCTATGCAACTGCAAAATAATTACTTTCATATCCAGCGGCAATTAAATTCATTTAGTTTGGCACCAATTTCCCTGCTACGAACTGTCACAGCAACAACAACAGCAACGAGTGGGTGCAACCTGGGCGGGCTGTGATCGACTAACGCATACCCTATGTGAAATGTGCTTTCCCAGATAAAGCGTGACGAGCTAACAAGCCAAAGCTAACTGACTAAAATCAAGTTTCAAAGTTATCGTTATCGATAAGCATAGCGATAAATATGTTGTAATAGTAGGCACAATTTCGAATTGCAAGCTATTATCTTTTGTGGTTATTATAGCTCTCAAATTGTGCCAAAAAAAAACCTAATCGATATTTATCGATTGTGAGTCAATATCGAAAAACTGATTAAGACAATTTATATCGATTTTCAGGTATATAAACTCTTAATAAATCCACAAAATTTCTTATAAATTAAAAGTTCTAAGTGATTTTTATAGATATTAAGAAAATATCGATAAATATATTTTGCATATTGAAGAAAAATTTCTTTAAACCTTACTCAACTTGCTTTTGTAATTTTAAAAGACAGTCGCCTGCATATTATGCTTATCTTTAATATATATTTATATTCCATAAAGTGTAAATTTGAAAAACTATCGATAAATTTCCATTGTCCATAAGATAGAAACCAATTCCACTTATAAATATTTAATTTTTGCAAATAATTTCTCAGAGTCTCAAAGCCATTCTCGCAACATTTATAGACACAAGCCGATATACCCACTGCACATATTCACTACAGGGTATAACAACAACGATGTGTAAGAGGCACGCTATTAAGACATTTATTCATTCCACATTCAAACGCGTAGGGCGCTTGCTTGGCTTGGCTGTTGAACCCGCTGACCCACCCAGCCATCCAGTCACCCAGCCCCCAGCCACGCCTCCTTTCTCCATTTTTGTCCCTTTCCCCGCCTCTTACCGCGTCTGGTCGGGCAACTCTCTAAACTATGTCAACTGTTAACTTTTTTAGCCGCTGGCATTCCGCTTGCATGGCTTACATATTTTTTTCAAGGACCCACGCACAGCTGCCACGCCCACCAGCGTTGAAAACTAAACAACAAATGGCTTTAGGCCTGTGCTAGCTCCATGAAACCGGACCACAAATCCGCACGTTTGCAGTGGGAATCTGTCGGCTATCGATTAAATTGCGCAATTTGTTGTTAACTGGATAGTAAAATAATTAATTTTAATCGAAATCGATTAATCATTACTTGAAATCTTAGCCAGAGCTGAATTTAACCAAGATTAAGCAAATCTATTTAATTTAGCTACTGATTGAGTGATTGAGGAATTGTTGTAGGCCAAACTGACTAAGCTTGACCTGAATATATCATTTTGGTGAGCTTTTCTATGCTGGCTAGAGAATTATCGATGAATGTTATCGATGACTAGAAGACTGGATGGCTGGATAAACAAATTCAATTTTATCCGTGACTGAATAATGATTGACAGCATTTTAAACTTATCTTAATATTATCATATACCTATTTATATGTGGGAAAAAGTGGAATCTGGATATAGAAATAGTTTTCAGTTAGAGCATTAAAAGTTTATAGTGTGGCTCAGGAGAAAGACGCGAGCTTTGTCTAGTCAATAAGCAGTTAATGCCTCACCTAGCTAATTTGGCTGCTGATTGTACTAACAAATTGATTCCCTAAATAATAATTAATATCTATTCTACGCGGCCAGCTAAGATTAGATCTTGATTGAAATTTACTGATTGATTGATAATTGGGCCAACATCAGCATACAGATAAATTATTAGAATTTCCACTAAACCACTAACCAAACTAGGGTAAAGCTAAGAGTGTATAATACAAATTTCAAGTCTCTTCAGTAGAGTCATAATTGGATAATGAAAATTTTGATAATGTCATATATCAACTGAAATATACTCAAACTGAAAGGTTAATTGAATTGGTAAGGTCTTAATCAGATGGAAATTATTCAAGCATTAGCTTCTGATACGCCGTATTCGCTGTCAGTTTGAGGGACAGACGCACGCAAAGGTTGTACCTAACGCAGCTCGAGCCTCAGAAGGCTTTGTATAACATGCGATAAGGATACGAGTGTAAACATGGCACCCAAAATAAGATACTTGCAACAACTAGAAATAGGTCAAGATACTCAATTATTACTAGAATATTGGGCTGCGTAAGGCTGAGTTGCGCCTACATAAATCGAAGTTCGTTGGCAATCAAATATATTAACTGTTGTTAGCTTAGACAATTATCTAAATTATGCAATTTTCTACAGCTGAAAATAACTTAATGTTCATGGCGTCATCAGAAATTATATATATAAGTATATATATATATATATATATATTAGATATATATACAAAGAAATCAAATCAATTTAACACTTATCACGAATTCTTGATAAAACTCGTTCGTTGTATAAAAGCATATGCCACATCGAGTGTCATTTGGTTGAGGCGCAAAAATTGATAAGTGCCTTGTGGTTGTTGCGGCCATTAACACGCACACACTCACACTCACACACACACACACCCGGAAGGCTGGGCGAGGCAGAAGACGTACGCACATCTAACGAGCGCCCAACGCACGTCAATCAAACATGGCGTCAAATAATCATTAAGAAGCAACACACAGTTAGAGTGAGAGGGAGTGTGAGTGGGAGTGAGAGAGAGAGAGAGTTGTAGGAGCATCATTTTAAAAGGCAGTTGCTGTGCTGTTGCTCTTGGAGTAGCAGGCGTGGCAGTTGCTTCGGCTTCCGTTGTAGCCTGTCATGTAGTTGACATTTGATTTGACTGACAAAAATTGATTTGCGGTTTCTTCTTGAAGAGGGTTTTGGCACTCGGTTCCGTTGTCAATTTAATAATTGCTAAAAATATTGTAGCTAAAACAATAAATGTGACAATATAAGAGAGAGAGAGAGAGGGAGAGAGGAGCGGAGCGAGTCAACAATTTTTGATCATTTCAATGAAGCCAGCAGCAAAAGTTCACTAACGAGCTGTGATTTTTCTAGCCATCAGGCGAGAAGCTGTTGGTGAAGCATGGGCTAGACTGCAGGCCAATGCGATTGACGTCAATTAAGTGCCATAAGCGGCACTCAGGCTCGGCCCGGAGAGGGGAGCTCGTGGGGCTGGTTTATTGGTGTCGTCTCGTTGCTTTGTTTGCTGCTGTTTGGCAGCTGGTTATGGCAGCATAGGCGCGCGTTTGACACACTTTACGGAGCACCTAGCAGATTGATTGCTGCCACTCAATTGGCAGCACACACACACACACATACACTTACAACCTTTGGCCTAAGTTCTGGCTCTGGCTCGTTACACGCAACGTTGCGTCAACGAATGTTGCCTACTGTTTCCTTTACCTTCTACTTTTTTTGGTTGCTGACTGGAAGTAGCCAGAATAGGGTATATTGGCTTGCAGTTAGCTTATGTGTTGATGATCAGAAATCAGCGAAGAGAGTTCTAGCTAGCCAGAAGACTAGCTGTAGAAGAGTAAGCAGTGACATTAACAGCATCCACTTGATACTCATTGAAAAAGAGCAGGCAGGGTATATTAATTGAGAGCGAATGTAGCTGAGAGGTAGACTTTTAGAAATAAAAATATATATGGCTATAACTATCCATATTCTTA